TGACAGTTGTGTCAATGTTTTCTATGGTATCATCTGCACCTGAGATTCTCTCTTCTATCTTTTGTATTCTGTTGGTGATGCTTGTATCTATGACTCCTGATTTGTTTCCCAGGTTTTCTATCTCCAGGGTTGTCTCCCTTTGGGATTTCTTTATTGTTTATACTTCCATTTTTATGTCCTGGATGTTTTTGTTCAATTCCTTCACCTGTTTGGTTGTGTTCTCTTGTAATTCTTTAAGAGATTTTTGTGTTTCCTCTTTAAGAGCTTCTACCTGTTTTCCTGTGTTCTCCTCAAATTCTTTGAGAGTGTTATTTATGTCCTTCTTAAAGTCCTCTATCATCATCATTAGAAGTGATTTTAAATCTGAATCTTGCTTTCCTGGTGATATGGGGAATTCAAGATGTTCTAGTGTGGAAGTACTAGGTTCTAATAATGCCAATTACCCTCGTTTGCTGATGCTTATTTTCTTGCACTTGCCTTCCCTCATCTGGATCTCCTTAGTGCTACCTGCCCTGTCTCTGACCGGAGCTTGTCTTTCCTATTATCTTAGTTGTTTCAGAACTAAGATACTGCCCATATTAGCACTTCTGGGAGGCCTGGTTCCTCTGCATTTTGTGAGATTGGGTACAGAGCTGCCACTCGGGATCTACTCAGTGCTAGGACCCAGACCATAAGGAACCAGTGGTCCAGGCCAGGGGTGAATTCCTGGGTCCTTGTTGGTCCCAGTTACTCCCTGTTTGGGGAGGGTGTTGCTGTCTCCTTACTTAACATACTACTCAGATTAGAGCACCTGGGAGGCCAGCTTCCTCTGGGTTTTGTGAGATTGGGTGCAGAGCTGCCACCCAGAATCTGCTCAGTGCTCAGGCACAGAAGGGAAGGAACAGTTTTCATTTTAGTCATTCTGACAGCTGTAAGCTGGCCTCTCAGAGTCTTTGTGATTTGGATTTTCCTTATGTCCAAGGATGTAAAACATCCCTTGAAGTGAAATATCTCAGATACTTAAGATTCCTTGTTGAGCATTCTTAGACCCATGCCCCCTTTTAAATTGAATTATTTGGTTTGTCAATGCTTATTTTCTTTTGTTCCTTATATCTTTTGGAAATCATACCTCTGTAACATGTACAATTGAAGAAAATCTTTTCCCACTGTCAGCCTTCTGTTTTGTCCTTTTGACAGTGTCCTTTGGTTACAGATGCATTTAATTTCATCATGTCTCATTTACTAATTGTTGACCTTTGAACCTATACAATGGTGATATGTTCAGGAAATTGTCTCTTAGCCAATGATTTCTAAGCATTCTCCACCTTCTCTTCTATTAGTTCCCCAGTGTATCTGGAATTATTTTAATTTCTTTGATCCACTTGGACTTAACTTTGGTGCAAGATATGGATCTATTTGCATTCTTCTACATGCCAATATCCTGTCAGCTGAGCACCATTTGTGGAAGAAGCTGACTTTCTTCCTTTGCGTATTTCTGATGTATTTTTAGCAAAAACAACTTGTCTATAGGTGTGTGGATGTACTTCTGGGCCTTTGATTCAATTCCACTGATCAACCTAACTATTTTTATGCCAGTATCATGCTAGGTATTTTAAAATAGCTCTGTAGTAAAGCTTAAAATTTGTCCTTAGAATTTGTCCTTGTTATTCTTATTTTGTTTTGTTTCATTTGTGCTTTATGGAGTTTATGTGATCTTTTTGATGTCTGCAATGAATTGTGTTTGAAATTTTGATGGGGATTGCATTAAATCCTGATATTGATTTTGGTAGGACAGCTATTTTTACTATGTTAAAACTTCCAATCCATAATCATAAAAAATATTTCCATTTCTCATATCTTCTTCAATTACTTTTTACAAAGACGGGAATTTTTGTCATACAAATCTTTCACTTGCTTGCTGAGAATTACAACAGGTTCTACTATTCCAGCTCAATTCATCCTACAAAGAGAGATACTGTCTTCATGGTGATACAGAGCTCTCAAAATTATGTCAATTTTTTTTGTTAGCATATCCAGGAGGATGACATAGATTTTAGGAACTAACTGCAGTGAGCTCTATAAGACCTTGTGTTCATCATGGCAATGATTAACTGACATAAGAGTTGGTGTCATGGGTTTAAATGTGGCTAACTGGGAAGAATAAACACTGTATAGATTCAGGAGACACCTCTTCCTCCTCTGGCTCGACACAGCTAATTTATTTAGAAGTTTTCTTTCACTAAATCATTGCAGTAAATATTTAGCAATATTATTGATGTCATTGGCATAGAAATTGAAGAGGGCACAAAGACCTTAATATCACAGAGAAGCACAAAAAAATAACATGAATATTAATCATACAAAGATATCTCCTCAGTAGAGAAGATAAACTCAAATATCTGCACAACATCCACAGTGTCATGATTCTTAACATGAGAGTCATGGTTCTTAGAAACCTGGTGACATTTATGCTATCTTTAGGTTCAGACTTCACCCTAATTCCCCAAACCAGTTATCTCAGTCTTCTTCCTCTCTATGTCATTACCAATCCTTAGGGCAGATGTCACATGCACTTTATGATCTGCTGACCTCCATGCTGTGGTCAGAGACCACATTAGACTCTAGACCTTTTAGTTGTAGAATGCACCCTCATGATCAGGAGAATTTCACAAAGTGTTATCTATATCGTCACACCTTAAGTTTCATTGTATACCTGGAATTGGAATGATTATAGAAATCAGTGTTGCTTAGAGAATTCTTTGCATGTTATCTTGTGTTTAAGTATACATATAATGAACTGCTTGTGCTTAGATTTCCCAAGTCTAATGCAAGCTGGCTAAGTTACCTGAACCAAATTCTCATTCTCATCTCTTCTCTCTGGTTGCTTGCCTCTCTGACATCTGCAGAGATGCCCTTAAGAAAAAAGTTTTCCTAGAAGAAATATGCACTTAAAGCTTAATAACAGAAAGCTAATTAGTGAAAATACACAAACATTGAGACACATTCACACACATACAGACATACACACACACACACACACACACACACACACTCACACAGTTGAAAGCCCAAATATTTTACTTACTTACTTTTTTCATGACACCTTAACATTATGCATTTTACATATGCATTTGCCTTAAATTCTTACTAACTCCTGGCCTCTGACTAAACTTTAAACAATTAAACAGAGATGAGAGAAACAACTCAGGCCTATGTAAGATTTACACACAAAAATATTGATATCAGAATTCTTGGATTATTTATAAGTTTTCCATTATTCATTTATTTGTACACTTTAAAACCTGGTAACTGCACTCCTGCCAGTCTCCCTCATACAGCACCTCTCCAAATTGCCCTTCCCCTTCTTCTCTGAGAGTATGGGCCACACTTGAGTATCCTCCTCCAATCCTGATACATGAAGTCTCTGCAGCAGGGCATCATCTCCCACTGAGGCAAGACAGGCAGTCTAGCCAGTTAAACATTTTCCAGTCAGGCACCAGCTTTTGGGATAGACAGTTGCTCCAGTTTCTGGGGCACACACATGAAGACTGAATGCAGAGCTACATATCTGTTATATATGTGCAGGATGTCTAGGTCCAGCCAGTATATGGTGTTAGGTTGGTAGTTCATTATCTGACAGCCCCCAATAGTCCAGGTTAGTTGATTCAGTTGGGCTTCCTATGGAGTTTCTGTCTAATTCAGGGCCCTCAATCCTTCTCCCAATTCTTTCATAAGAGTTCCCAAGCTCCATCCAAAGTATAGCTGTGAATCTGTTTCAATCACCTGCTAGTTGGACCCTCTCAGAGAATAGCCAGGCTCTGATCCTGTCTACAAGCATAATCGAGTATCATTAATATTGTCAGGGATTGGTGCTTGCTCATAGGATGGGCCACTTATTAGTTAGCCATTCCATCAGTCTCTGCCCAAACTCTTTCCCCGTGTTTCTTGTAGAAAGGAGAAATTTTGGGTCTTAGAATTTTTTTTCTATTTTTTACTGAAAAATAGATTTTTCATACACTATATTCTGGCTACAGATTACCCTTTCCCAATTCCTCCCCAATCTTCTCCCCCAATTCCCCTCTTGTATCTAATTAGAAAAAATAGATAACCTAAAAATAATATTTAAAAAGGACAACAAAGTAAGATAACAGAAAAGCAAATAACTTGTAATATGACAAAAAAAAAAGAAACAGGAAAAAAAGCACACAAAACAAACCCCACCAAAACACAAGAAAAACATGTAGATGCAGAAACACACAAATTCACCCTCTGTGCAACCCACTGTGATACTTAATACTGTATCAGTATATGTCCATGTTCTGTAAAGGCTAGCAACTGTAGGGCTGATTACTGGGACTTCATCTAGTTTTTATGAGACCAGTTATTAACATATAACATCAGAGCCTAACTCAGCTAGCATATGCATACATTGAACTGATAAATGAGGTCTTTGAAAAGTGTTTTAACATTACTTTTGTCCAACTTACAAAAATTATACTTATGCGACTATGCATAGTGATATAAATATCTGATACATTCTAAGAGACTGGAACTTCTGATAGATTACACAGCCAGAGTTGACAACACACCAGGAAGTCACTTAAGGCTTTATACTGTGTAAGACATTTTTCTTTACCCAGAGTTTATTTGAATGTTACAGGTCAAATTTGTATTATACTTTATTTCCAGCCATTCCAACAAAAGTTCTGGTTCACCTCAGAATCCAGAGAGCTTTTTATCATACAAAATCACAGTTCCTCTTATTTGTTGTTTTATAAAACAAGAAACATGTCAATGGAGATGGTCACTGGAGAAGAAACTGATAAGGTATGGGATACTCTAGGATCACCTTCAATCAATTTCACTTAATTCACAAATATGCTTTGCAAAGTTGACAAATGCAATTTAGGTATTTAAGGAGGAGCAAACAGAAATGGGCACTCTACATAAATCTCCAAGCTAATCATCTCTGTCATCTCAGTCCCAGAGCAGCTTGCTGCTGCTCCAGGGTTTCTGACACACTAAGGATGTGGTTTCAACACTGTGTGTTTTGCACAGTAATAAACCGCAGAATCCTCTGATGTCAGGCTGCTGAACTGCATATAGGCTGTGCTGGAGGATGTGTCTGCAGTCAGTGTTGCCTTGCCCTTGAACTTTTCGTTGTACTCAGTATCACCATCTCCAGGATAAATCCATCCAATCCACTCAAGACCTTGTCCAGGTCTCTGCTTTACCCAGTGCATATAGCTGTAAGCAAAGGTGTAGCCAGAGGCCTTACAGGACACCTTTACTGAGGAACCAGGCTTCACTAGCTCAGCCCCAGACTGCTGCAGCTGAACCTGGGAGAGAACACCTGTGGAGGAAAAGACATATTAGATATCTTTATCATGTGTGTGTGGCCCATCAGCAAGTCTGGAATTGAGAGCCCCTTACCTGTAGTTGCTGCCCCTAGAAAGAGGATGATCTGGCTCCATCTCATGGTGAGATCCTGTGTTCTCAGTCACTTTAGAGAGGTCAGTGATCATGTATTGTTGTGGAGCGTGAACGCTGTTCCTGTATTTACCACCACAGGGTCACATGATTTACATATTCATGAGGAGAGTACTTCTTAGATAAGGAACTAGTCCTGCTGGAGAAGATGGAGATAGAGAACACCAGGGTTAGGCAGTGGGATGCTCAAGTCCAAGTCCTTATCCTTTCTGAGGAAATCCATCTGATACCCCTTTCAGGAGCCGTGTGCGGATGATATGGATGTAACACCACCACCTATGACCAAATAGATTTCCAGCCTGAGACAGTTGCTCCACTTCTGAAAAGGTTATCAGAGGACTTGCAGATACTTATAGGACAATGGTAGTGATGGTCAATTTCAAAAATAGCTAAGTTTACAGAATTTACAGCATCCTTACAATACATGCAATTAACCCTTGCCTTTCCAAAATGCTCTATAGTAAAGAACTCACTCAAATGACTAAAAGTAAATATACTTCAGAAATGCTTGTACGTAAATGATTACTGCAGCACCATCAAAAAGACTAAATTAGGGAAATAAAGTTTATTCTATCAACAGAGGTTTGCCTCAAGAAGGCATGTTTATATGTATAACACAACAGAAGTTTTTCTTCAAAAAACAATAGAAAACTTAAGTCAACTTTAGGAAAATGGATGTAACTATAGATAACTGTATTAATTAAGACCATATTAGAAACACAGACATTGAGTCTCTCATTTGTAGTTCTTAGATATCACACTCTTATACAGACTTATTTATACAAAATCATTGTGATGTACAAAATGAAACTTTCTAGTATAATAATGTAAAAAATAGGAGGGCAAGAAAGGAAGGGTTGAGGCTATAGGGAAACTATTCATGAGGTAGAAAAGACACTTGTATGAAAATGGTAAACATATATAAAATTGATATTTCTACTTTTCAGAATCATTTTTATTCTTTAGAATTTTCATTCCTATATAAAACATTCTATGATTAACTACTGCTACTATGACCCTCTCATTTCCCTTGGGAGTTCCTACTAAGACTTTCTCCCCCCAAAATTGACACTTTTTGGTTCATTAGCTAATAAAATAGAGTCCAATGAGTAATATTTATGTATACATAGATGGGATCATTCACTAGTACATAGAGAACCTACAAAAAAATTCCCCCAAAGTAGCTAAACTTTGCTCATTAGTCATCAAATGCCAATAGACCCTCAGCTTGAGATGGGTCCTTAGATATTCCTTCCCATGAATGCTGTGATTTTTTTTTTTATTTGTTATCCTATATTTAGTGGTACTCAGCCTTAATGTGACACTGTCAAATCCTGAGATTTTATGACATGCCTATCCAATCCATTTCTGATCTTATGTTCTCTCCAAACCTTTTGTGATGGTCTTTGGGTTTGGGGTGGAATACTTGTATAGATGACTCCTCTGTGGTTGATTACTCAGCATTCATTCTCCGAACTAGACCAGTCATGGGAATCTACATCAATCATTACACAGTTTATTCAGAAGCCTCAGTGATGAGAACAGCAACAATCTAATGCATATGTACACATTTTATGATGCAGTTTGTCAACTTGACCATTAACAATGCAGCTAGGGACTACTAGGCCTATGTCATCTATAGACAGGGGATTTTGACCATGTTTACCTGAGAAGAAGTCTTTCCTATGGAACAGGCTACAAAAATTCAATTAGAAAACACTTGGTAACTACACAACAGTCAGACACTAGTGGGTACATCTTACTTAAATGCTGATATTTTAAACTGGTAGGTCAGGTACCATATAAGATCACTGAGGCCTTTGTGTTTCTTCTAAGCAGCATGACACTGTCCTGCACTAGGAAACCTAAGCAGCAGATAGGGTATCCTGGTCAGGTTGTTTGTGGGTTTCTCTACATCCTGTACCATAGTTCTTAGCTAAGTTCAAATTAAAGAAACCTAATGTTACAATTAGAACTCAATCAGATGATAATAGTCAAGAATTCAAATGAGAAAAATAATGACATGAATGTGGAAAAAGTTTAATCTTTACTTATTGTTGATGTGAGTGTAAACTAGTTTAGTGTACTAACTATGGGTTGATGTTTGAAAATGGCATCAAAAAGAGTAAATAAAACTGTGCTGGGTTTCAGCTATATTCCTCACAAACATGTATTCAAAGGACTCTATATTATTACAGAGACACACATCCATGTTTATTGCTGCTCCATGCACAGCAGCTAGGAAATGGCATCCATCTATATTTACAACAAAGGACAAATTGATGCTGACAATATGTAGAGTACAGACCATGACATAGTCTTCAGTGTAAAACCGTTAATTATGAAGTGTATACCTATTTGGAAATCCTGGGGAAAATGCTCAATGAGATCATGCAGTTCCATAGAAAAACATGCTTCATGGTTTTTTTTTTTATGTGGTTCCATGATTTGAATATTTTATAAATATTTAGAGAACAAGAGTCTAGAAATGGGCTATTGGGGATCTGAGGAATTAAAGGATATGACATAGTAAAATAGAGGTAAAATTAAAGCAGAGAAGTCAGATAGATGAGCTATGATATTTCAAACATGAAATGGTGGTAGCAAACAGAGAATAATACATTGGTGCAACATAAACCAAATTAAAGGATGATAAGAGAGGTAAGATGAAATCTAAAATCTTCAATGTAAATAAAAATAAAAAAACTATAGAGGATATAGAATGTGTGTAGCACAACAAAACACATTAAGGATATTGAGAGTAAAGAAAAGGTGCATTATGGAGTAAAAAGCAACAAAACTTAAAAAGTGTTTTTTAGACTAATAGTCAAAAAATAATCAATACTTCGTAGTTGCCTAGCACACATTTCAGAATAGCTTCATGTTTATGGGTTAATTTTATGTTGAGGAATGTAGTATGGATTTATGGATCTGGTAATATAATATTTTTACATTTAAGGAAAGTGTGTGAAAATCTGGTGATATGCAGAATTGAAGTTTAGATATTAGTATTAATTCAGTGGTCTGGTTCTGGTCATGCTTTACTGATATGTGAGTTATACACTTGCAGAAAGCTGAGTAAAATTTAGTACATTTACACAATGGAGTATTACTTAGCCATTAAAAATAATGAATTCATGAAATTCTTAGTCAAGTGGATGGAACTAGAAAATATCATTCTGAGTGACGTAACCCAATCACATGGTATGCACTCACTGATAAGTGGATACTAGCCCAAAAGCTTGAAATACACAAGATACAACTCATAGACCACATGAAGTTCATGAAGAAGGAAGACCACAGTTTGGGTACTTTGGTTCTTAGAAGGAGTAACAAAATACTCACGGTAGCAAATATGGAGACAAAGTGTGGGACAGAAACACAAGGAGGGGCTGTCTCCTGTCTAGAAACTGCTCCACCTAGGTATCCATCACATGTGCAGTCACCAAAGGCAGATGCTGATGTGGCTTCCAGGAAGTACATGGTGACAGAAGCCTGAGATACCTGGCTCCTTAGAGGTCTGCCAGAGGCTGACATATAAAGAGGCAGATGCTCACTGCTCTCCACTGAACTGATCATGAGGTTCCCAATGGAGGAGTTAGAGAGAAGACTGAAGGAGCTGAGGGGCTTGGAGCCCCATGAAGAGAGCAACAATACAACCAGAGCTTCCAGTGTCTACAACACTAGCCTGAGACCACATAGGGAGAGACCCATACCTCCAGCTGTATATGTAGGAGAAGATGTCCTTGTCCAGCATAGGTAGGAGAGGTAGTCCTTTGTTCTGTGAAGGCTGGATGCTCCAGTGTGGGGGAATTCCAAGGAGGAGAGGTGGGAGTGGGTGGGTCGGTGGAAGCAAATCCTCATACAGGCAGGAGGAGGGAGTATGCTCTAGGGGTTTCTGGGTGGGGGAGGAATGGGGAAGAGGATAACATCTGAAATATAAATGAAATGTCAAATAAAATTAATTTAAAAAGAAAAGAAAGCACAGGGGTGAGCTTTGTGTTTTATTTTAATGTAGAAGTCTTTGAACCTGCATGGGACGATGGTGTATCTCCCAAGGAAACTGACTTCGAGACATAAGAGGATCCATGCAGATATGAACCTACAGAGACTGTGACAGCATGCACAGGGTATGCACAAACTCCACCCAAATGGAGAGCCAGTGTTTACAGAACATGGCCACAGGTTCTCCCCCTTAATCCAGAAGATTTAGAAATTGACTTTCATGTCCAAAAGAAAAATATATCTTTCTCCAATAGATCATTATTGGTCTTATTAACCACATTTTATGTTGGATGCATGTCTAAGAGTAGAAGGCCAACACAGAATGAACTAAACAGCGTTTTTGTAAATATTTACTCTCATTGTTTTCTGCATTAATTTTGTCGCACATGTCTTTTGAATATATATTATGGTGACAGAGTTGCATTTTTATGTGTTTGTGTATATGTATGTGTGTGTGTTTTTGTATGTTTCATCTTTTTAAATTTTTATCCACACTTTATGTGTTTTATCTTTCTATACAAAAAATGAAAAGGTGAGTAGGTGGGTGAGGGGTAAAAGTTCTGGCAGAAGTTTTGAAAGAATATCAGTGATTAGAACACATTGTAAATTATAATATATATTCTTTATTACTTTTGCTTTCTATAGACCAGTCATTACTGCCCTCCGAGTCCAACCTTCGACAGTTCCTCATCCCATTTGTCCTTCTCCCATCTTCAAGAGGATGACTCCTCCCCACCAGGCCTCCTAACTCCACGGAGCTTCAAGTATCTTGACTGATAGGTGCATCTCCTCTTATTGAGGCCAGACCAGGAACATCTCTACCATATATGTGTCAGGGGTCTCACACAAGCACATATATGCTGCCTGGCTGGTGGCCCAGTGTCCAAGAGATCTCAGGACTCTGGATTTATATATACAAGAAGACAAGAAAATATAAGTCTTTCAAGTGTTTAACAGAGAATTTTCACAAAGTTTGAGCATGGGAACGTTACATGTCAGTCACAATAAGTACAAGTAGGTTAAGAAAGG